ATTTTGGTTTTTTATTATTTGCTGTTATAGCGGCAATAGAAATACACACTCTGTGAAAATTTCTACTCTCTACCTATTATGGTTCATACGATACAGCCCTCTGACAGACGTACGGACGGACGGACATCGGAGACTTAGTAATAGGGTTTCGTTGGCACCATTCGGATACGGAACCCTAAAAGTGTTAAACATCACAAAGAAGGATTTAATGAAGTATTTGTTATATTAACATATTGCTTTAAATATATAACTAGCGGCTCATCTATACATCTAATAAAATTCTAACTAAGTCGAATCTGTACACTAAATATTTTTTTGGAAAATCTTATTGAAATAGTAATCATTATCGATACAGAGACCAAATCTATAGTTTTTAGATTTTTGTCTGTCTGTCTGTTACCGCATCGCAGAAAAACCACTGGAGGGATGTTGATAAAATTTGGTATGGTGATAGCTTGATAGCTTGTTATCCGGGTCAACGTATAGGATACTTTTTACCTCAGGAAAACATCTCATTTCTGAGAAAAAATACAAAAACTGCAATGTAGGAGTATACTAATATGTAAAACTTAAGAATTTGGTTTTTAGTCACCTGAACGCGGGCGGAGCCGCGGGCAATGCTAGTTTTATATAAATATAAGCAAACATGTAGTGATTTAACACATTATTTCGTTGTTAGTTTAACTTAATATTTAAACTCAAACTAAACATTTATATAATTAATTGCATGATTTATTTTCACAAGCCCATGATTGCGCTAAGAAACGGTTTGATCAGAACCAAGTTTAATTTAAACGTTAATTAACTTTATCTTATAGCTTGATGTGTCAATATCCTGAATATTTTTCGGCTTTATATACAACATTATATACTATTGACATAATAGATTTTATCTATACATATAATAAGATTGTAACTAAGCAGAATCTGTACATTAAATATTTTTTGGAAAATCTTATTGAAATAAACATTATTATCGATACAAAAAAAATAAGCAATCCCATGAGAATGCTGAACAGCAATGGTACAAACTAAAAACCAAAGTACACAAAATCAATGCAAATATTCTGAAACCAGATAAATGGGTCGCAAAGGAGCCATGGATGACTGAAAAAATATACCAGCTAATGGAGAAAAGGAGACTTCACAAAAATGACGACAAGTTATACAAAACCATAGACAGAGAAATTAGAAGAGAAGTGCGCTATGCCCGCAACTCCTGGTATCGCAAGAAATGTGATCATCTGGAAGTACTCCATAACAAACATGATGCATTTAATCTGCACAAAAAGATCAGAGCCATGGTAGGAAGAAAATACCCTACGCACCAATTAGTAGACGCAAACAATCTCCCGGTTTTGGACCTTGAAGAGAAGAAACGCATATGGGAGCAGTATATTAAGAACATCTTTTCAGACAACTCAAGAAGCTTGATTGCCTATATTAATACACAAGAGGGACTTCCAATTCTAAAAGATGAAGTTAGGAAAGCATTATTTAAGGCAAAGACAGGAAAAGCAGCAGGTCCAGATAGCGTCAACGTAGAGGTGCTTAAACTGGTGGATGAAGAAAACATGGGTGCCTTAACAAAGTTTCTAAACCTGGTGTACGATACAGGCCAGATTCCGGATGACTGGTTAAAATCTGTCTTCATTACGCTCCCCAAGAAGCCCAATGCGAAAAAATGTGAGGAGTTCAGGACGATCAGCTTAATGAGCCAAGTACTGAAGCTATTACTCTCAATTATTCACGAACGCATTAGGGTAAAATGTGACGAACAACTGGGTGACAGTCAGTTTGGTTTTAGATCCGGAGTGGGAACAAGAGAGGCGTTGTTTGCCATACAGGTTTTGGTCCAAAAATGCAGAGAAATGCAACAGGATGTCTTCCTTTGCTTCGTCGATTATGAAAAGGCATTTGATCGAGTACTGCATGATCGTCTTCTCGAGATATTAAAGGACATTGGCCTCGACGATAAAGACATCACAATCATAAAAACCCTGTATTGGAATCAACATGCCACTGTGAGAGTGGACGGAGAGGAAACCGATGCTATTGTCATTCAAAAAGGAGTAAGACAGGGATGCATACTATCACCTCTTCTTTTCAACCTATACTCAGAGGACATAATATCCAAGGCTCTGCATGACCTGGACTGCGGCGTTAAAATAAATGGACGCAATATCAACAACTTACGTTACGCCGATGATACAGTTCTAATAGCGTCTACAGCAGCTGATCTTCAACAAATAGTCGAAAGGTTAGAGGGATGTAGTAGTGAGGCTGGTCTCAAAATGAACATAAATAAAACAAAGTTTATGGTCATTTCCAATACGTTGGATACCACGACGAGCATAACGGTGTCAGGCCAAAATCTAGAAAGAGTTCGGAAATACAAATACCTGGGGACATGGCTAAACGAGGAATGGAATAGCGACTTAGAAATAAAGACGCGTATCGAAATCACCCGTAGTGCTTTTAACACAATGAGAAAAGTACTCTGTAACCGTAACATTAACATCAAGTTACGAACTCGTTTGCTCCACTGTTACATCTGGCCCATTATATTGTACGGATGTGAGGCTTGGACCATAAAAGAAGACCTTCGAAAGCGTATAGAGGCTTTCGAAATGTGGACGTATAGACGCATGCTATCCATAAGCTGGACTCAGAAGGTCACCAACGTCAAAGTACTGGAACGGATTGGCCAGAAACGCGCACTCATGCTCACCGTAAAGCAAAGGAAGATCTCCTACTTGGGCCATGTTCTTCGACATCAGCGATACAGTCTGTTGCAGCTCATCATGATGGGAAAGGTCGCTGGAAAGAGGAAGGTTGGCAGAAGAAAGAAATCGTGGTTACGAAACATCCGAGAGTGGACCGGAATAGCCAGCGCCGCTGAGTTATTTCGCAGAGCTATAAATAAAGAAGACAGTAAAAAGCTGATAGCCAACCTTCACTAGTTGGAGAGGCACTATAAGAAGATCGATACAAAGGGCGAATCTATAGTTTTTAGAATTTTTATCTATCTGTGTCTCTGGGAACTCATAACAAGAAAACCACTAGACAGATTTTAATGAAATTTGGTATGATGATAGTTGGTTATCCGGGTCAACATGTGGGATACTTTTTACTCCGAGAAAATATCCCATCTTTGAGAAATCTATTCTAACGGTTAAAACGTACCTATCATATTATGATTTAGTCAAGCTATCTTTTCCGTTTTCATGTCTGCGCTGACATTATATTGCCATGCTTAAAAATAAAAAAATATGAAAATATAATCTTTAAGTACTAGTCTTCTCTATAAACACCACCGGGATAGAAGAATAAATATTATTAATTGTTATAGCAATAGGTACTTGCATACGAATGAATACGCTGGGTACGTTTTGCAAAATATCCATATGCTAGGTGTATATTATAGTATTCTCTTATATCATACTTTATTACATAACTAGCGGCTCACCCTCGCTTCACTCGGGTTTGTTGCTAGGTACGTTTTAAATAGATATAAACAGTTATTAGCCAGCGTTAGGCATATATTTTTTTTCTCTTTATTAAAACCTTCCGTGAACCTTAAGGAAGATACGAAAAAAAAAAGATTTTGCCAAAATGGTCTAGCCATTCTTGAGTTATGCGCTTACCAACATTCATTTTTATTTACATAGATATACTATGCTCGTACAGAAGCAGTACCCGCACTATTGCATTTGACTCGATGAGTTAGAGCACCGAAGGAGCAACTACGCACTCTATCTTCCTTCCTTTTCCCATAGTTTCCATATCTCTTTAGCCTCTTTGGTAGAATGTACCTTGGATATTATAGCCTATGGTTAGATCTTGCCATCATGCAGACCATATGGTATTGTATGCCATATTTGTAGCCTAAAAAACATATATGTATATTGTATGTATTCAGCCTTTTTTTTGTTTAAATGTCACAGTACTGGGAACCCATCAATACAAGTGTCCACCGCACTGGCTAAGTGCGGATTGCCGAACTTCACATTTCTTTCGAAAATACTTTGACTTGTTAAATTAAAACGGTAAGACAAGTGGTAATTGTGTTGAAAATGATCCAGATTGAAATTATCAGAGGTACGAGTAGCGCGTCAGCATTCTGATACCACTGCCTTGCAACAACATATTTTCATTTTAATATGAACTTACTAAAATATCTCGAATAAATCTATTCATTTCCACCCTTAGATATTCAATTAACTTTGATAAACAGTTAAATATAAAAGGTTAGAATATAACCTTTTATTTATTTAAAGCACTTCACTTAATGTCAGTAATAAGCTATGCGTTCATTTACTTTGTCGACATATTTGGTATAGGTACCTATACATGCTACAGGATATACAGGACAGAATATATATATATATATATATATATATATATATATATATATATATATAATATATATATATATATATATATATATATATACAGATTTTGAAATAAAGAGCAATTAAAGGGTTTGTAGTGCATATTCACAGATGGTGTTTTTTTCTTTTTACGATTTGTTTACCACGTTTTAAAATTGTTGAAGTCACTACAATTTATTTAATTTACAGGGTGTATGTGTTATATCTAAGATATTTTAATACATATATACGTATTTATAAAATAAAACCAAATTGTGGCTTCAAAATTGGCCCGAAGAATTACCCAAAATAGTGTTGTGCAGTTTTAAAATAAAACACCGTAGGTACGTATCGTTTTATTATTTTTACTTTTATATGTTTTGCAATAAAATTTAAATAAGATACACAGGACAATTCTGATTGATGGAAATTTTGATCAAATGTTCTACATCATACCAGGCTATATACGAAATAAAACAAAACTGAAACAGCATACCAGAAATTAAAGGGATGTAATAAAAATTTTGTTATATAAAAACTACACTACTCGAAATCCTTATTTCATAATACTCTGTCATATCCGTAATTAAATTGTACAAATTAAATACTACTTAATTTATCATATTAATTCTTCCAACTTAGAAGCTCATCAAGCACCGCCTCCAACAAGGGGTTACCTCCATAACGAGCAATCTGAGAAAACAAATAAAATATAAATAATGTTGTTATTTGAGACAGCTGATGATTGAGAAAGAAGAAAGAGTTTTGGTTTCTTCTCCACAGTAAAATTTGTTTAAAAACAATTTTTTATATGTTTAAAAACCATTCAAAAACTGTGCGTTTTATAGGCATTGGCAACACTGAACTTAACGGGGATCTCGTAAAACATTTGTAGACTGAATAGAAATAGATACACTCGTGGGTAAAGTCGCAGGCAATGAGTGTCCAAAACCATGTCATTTGAACCGTACTTTGCAGACAAACTATGAGTCTAAAGTTTTATTACATTTGTTATGAAAATTAAATAGAAGTGTACAAAATAATAATTTATGGTGATTATGACGTTGACTTGTTAGTTTTTTTTGTTTGAACATTAACACACAACACCATTTAGTTTCATGGTAAGTTACGAGGCTTGTATTATGGATACCAAATGTTGATACACTACATATATATAACTTTAAATACGAGTACATACATATTATAAACACTAGCATTGCCCGCGGCTCCGCCCGCGTTCAGATGACCAAAAATCAAATTCTTAGATTTTACATATTATTAGCATACTCTTACATTGCAGTTTTTGTATTTTTTTCTCAGAAATGAGATATTTTCCCGCGGTAAAATATATTCTATATGTTGACCCGGATAACCAGCTATCATCATACCAAATTTCATCAAAATCTATCCAGTGGTTTTCCCGTGATGCAGAAACAGACAGACAGACAAAAATTCTAAGAACTATTGATTCGGCCTCTGTATATCCAATAATAATGTTTATTTCAATAAGATTTTCCAAAAAATATTTAATGTACAGATTCTGCTTAGTTACAATTTTATTATATGTATGGGTAAACACCTATGACTAGAGTACATACATTCGTGCTCATCACACAAATGTATGCCCCCAGCAGGACTCGAACCCGTGACCGCTGGCACAGCAAGTAGGGTCACCACAAACTGGGCCAAACGTGTCGTCTCATACGTAGAACATTGTCATATGGAGTATTGAAAAGCGTTATACCTCCGATCTAGCTTCAAGATCGAGCCGAGTTAATACATCCCGCGTGTACTGCAAGCTACCACTATCTTCCAAAAGTGACACGCAATACTTCTTTAGTTCCACATTACGAGTTTTTTGACGAATAATATCTAAATATAAATTAAGGATGCATTGTGTAAAATAATTAATAGATTTTCTTCTTACAGTATATTTTTACTATATACCCTGTCATAACTCATTAATTATGCAAATGATTAATTTTTTTTCGAGTTTAATGTCTATTTATTACCTAGTGGTAATAACAATAGAAGACATTTAAGCATATTTTATTACTACTTTATATTTTATTAAAACAACAAACGTCCAAAGAAAAGTCTATTTTTTGCGTTAGTAATCTTCACAGGATTATACTGAAAAACCCACCAGAGTTTCATCACAATCGGATCAATGGTTTAGGAACACACATAGGACAAACCTACGATTTTTTTTTATTTATATAAATAAATTTCTATTAGAACCTTAAACGTAACTTAGATGAAGACAGAATAACTAGATTGTGCTATTGAGATGAAAAAAATTAAACAAATACACATAAGCATGTGGTACACAGATTTTTTTTTATATTTTACTCTACTCACTGTAGCTCTTTATTATTGAAAGAATATGTAGAAACGATTCAATAGCTCCAAACATTACCTCCTACTATAAGAAAACAAATATTTTACTTCTTTGTAATTGGTAGATTATTTCTTCTATGGTATTTTACTTTAATAAATTACAAACATTAAAAAACCCGACTGCGTAAAAAACGAACTAAAAAGATACGAACTAATTGACGAAGGAATATAGTATTATGCAGTCGGAAATACACACACCTGCAGCTATTATAAAGCATATATGTACATACATACATCCATACATACAAACTAAACACATAACCCTCCTTTAAATTTCGCCACAGTTGGGTAAAAAGGATACTAAGAACCGCTCCGCCTTGTTTCGTCCTCTGTATCGCATGTATGATCGGCAAGCTGATCTTCCCTTCCGTTATGTCTTCACAAAAAAAATTATCCGTACACACGTTCTGTCTTGACTGTAACAAATAGTGTATGAAAGAAAAAACATTTAGCTAACACTATTTTGTGGATTTTTTTAGAATCCTTCTATCAAGTCTGATAAATTTTAAGAAATTTTCGATTTCAAACGCTTTAAAATCATTTTTTTTTTTTTCTAAAAAGGCAGTGTTTTTGTTCTAAGGTAATTTATTAAGTAGGTTTTTATAAGTGTAACATTGCATCAATGGCATCAATTTTTTGAAGCATTATATAAACTTATCAATCTCTGATACAATTATCATCAAAATAAATTAAAAACGGTGAAAGATATAGAAAAATATTTTTAATTAAAAATTTTACGTAAATTAATTTTAAACATTTGCAATTACGCAGACTTCAATTATAAAATTTACTAAAGTAAACGTTCAAGAATCTTTTGAATCATCATATTGAGCTAAATACAGAATGCTGCATATTTCAATCATGTGATTTGAAGCATCTTATGACTACTCTAAAACATAAAATAGGCATCAATCCCTATTGAGTATCCAAAAAGTGGGATTTAAGACATTTTTATAATACCTAACATAAAATATATTTTTAAAACAATTCAATATTATTATCGAATGAGTGTTAATTCTACGTATTTCGAACAATAGTTGAAAATATAAAACTTTATATGAAATAGTTAAAAATAGCCTGGAGCAAATTTTTGGTGATTTTATTTTTTCGATATCTCAGTTCGTTTTCGAAATATATATTTTTTTTGACCAAAACCGGGCAAAAAGTTCCGCATCCGCCTTTTTCACATTTTTTCGATTTAAAAAAAGTGTTTGAGTTTTTCAATTATTTTTTTTTGCATTTTGTAGCCCTTATCAAGACGCATCTTTTAACATCTTTGATCTTTTGATTGACCCAATCAGCTCCATAGTCTTAAAATCCACGACACTTTCGCTGAAAATCGGGCCTATACCGAAGCGACAAAAAAAACTTTTTCAATGTTAAAATGTCTATTAAACATATTTACATAGAATTTTATGCTTTACAACTATCATTTAAATATTTCTATCTAATTCTTACTATTTTGGAAGTTTCGAGCACTCGACGCTCGTCAGGGGTTGACAATAATGTTAGTATTATAGATACTTCATACTTTCAGCAGGAAACTTTAGCCTTTTAAGAAAAAAATATAATACGGTTTTATTATAATAATTGTACTAATAGGTATAGAATTATTTCGGCATATTGAAGTTTAATGTAAATATCTTAAAGTATACCTGTGAGTCCTCTTCTCCAGGCCATTCTTCTAATGCCTGAAAAACATAAATAAAAATAAACAAAAAGAGTTTCTTGTTGATGGAAAAATGTGGAATTAAGATTTATTGACTTATATGCGGACTATATATAATATTATATTTATTAATGTAACTTCGATATTTAAAATAGCAACTGTTGAGTTCCTGGCTCTGAAGAACGTCTTTTCGAGCCAGTGGTGGCTTCCTCATGGACTGACTGCACTGACGCTCTTTAAATTAAATTTACGATTCAAAAGTAGATACTTGTAATACGAGTAAGTCTATTTGATTAAACTTTCATTTCACAGAAACAGATTTTCTAGGTACGAGCGATTAAACCTAGAGCTTTCAAGACTAAAGCTACACTCAGATCTGGAATTTTCAATTTGACAGGTCAACAGCTAATTTGTATTAGTAGAACTAAACTTCTAACTGATAACTGTTCGTCAGGCTAGTGGCTAGCACACTCCATCTAAATCACGAACATCATTCAACTCATTGAACTAGGTTATTCTCGAAAAAAAAACAGGTAATAACTTTATGAAACGAAAAATTATTGTTTTTCGTCTGCTAGTATTGGTGTCAGTTTCATAATAACATTGCATCATATAGTTTACAGTAACAATTTTTGAAAAGTATTAAATATTGTTATTACCTCTCTTTGGCTTAAATTACAATAGTCGTCTCTTATTTGGAAGTAGCGTCCAAATAATAAGACAAGTTTACTGTAGTCTTTTTTATTTTCACTAAAAAGTTGCATCATACGGACCGCCATCAGTAACATGTGACCAGTTTCTGCAAAAAATTTTTTTTCAACAATGAGCAAACGGGGACTTGGGACATAGTGTATTTAAAGGTTGCAATGAATACTATATGATATTTAAATCAGATTTGAACTTAGAGCTTTGGGAAAAAAATCTTTTTGTATTGACTTTGGTCTTAACGTTAATATTAAATATTTAGAATACACTCACTTTGTTCATTCATTTTGTTATATTGTTCCTCAGTGGGGCATATTAAATTATCTCGCCAATATATATCTATAGCTTGTCCTCGACACACTTCCAGGAATTCTTCGGAAAAAACTTTTGTAGCCTGGAAAACCCCAATTTAAACATAATTAACATACGTGATTCTACCACAGATAGCACGGGTTCGAGTTCAAACGTTTGCATTAGACCATAAAGTATCTCGGTGTAGGTATATAATATGTATATGTACATATACTGTGCATATTTTAAATGGGGTATGTAGAATGTAGATTATGAAATGTGGTAGAATGTGAAGCGTTATTTTATGCTGATCAATATAAAATATGAGAGATTAACTGATTGGATGCTTAAACGTCGTAAAAAGTTACAATTCGGGAGTCAAAAGTAAAACGTGGTCTATAACTTCCAATTTAATTCGATTTGTTTTAATAATAGTTTTGTTTTAAACATACCTTTGGATGCAATTCAAAGGATTTATCTAACACCATAGCTATGACTTGCACAGCTGCGTTGATAGTGAGAGGGAGCCCATAGACACAGTACGCAGCCGGCATGCCTCTCCGAACGGTACAGTTGTCTTGAATATCGTCAATTCTATATGAAACATATTAATAATATAAGAATAATCAGTCTTCTTAAGCAACCTTTGATTATAATCGCTGTCAATTTTACTGACACTAATCAAATATGTTATATATGTTATATATACAAGAATTCATCGTTTAAAGATATAAGATAAGATATATGTAGTGTATCAACTATCTGGTATTATAACACAAGCCTCGTAGCTTACTATGGAACTAGATGGTGTTGTGTGTTAATGTCCCAACATATTTAAAAAAACAGAAACAACTTAGATGAAAAGGGTCCACTTTATTAATAAGACTTACAGTAAGGACCCCACGTGTAGCATATTGACCAGGCCAGTGGCTCTGTCCAAATCTTCGTCAGAAATTTGTAACCAATAATTGAAAGCCTTAACTATTTTAAGACGCAGCCGCTTGCCCTTTACTTGAGAAACATGGGTGAAGGGAGCCAGAATTTCCTAAAATATTCAACAAGTAAACTAAATTATACATATTATATACGTTTAAATTTAATAATATATATATGACCATCGATAGTTATTGTTTAGCGTTCATAACGCTTTTTATCAACCGACTTCCTCAAAAAACAGGAGGTTCTCAATTCGGCTGTATTTCTTTTTTTATGTTTGTTACATCAAAACTCCGTCATTTATTAACCGATTTGTACAATTTTTGTTTTTTTTTTTTGAAGTGATACTTCCAGATTGGTACACTAAAAAGGGAAAAATAATAACTTACAAAGAGACTGACTTCAAAAAAAAGCAGTAGAAAGTAAAAAATAAAAAGCGTGCTTTGATTTGTATCGGCCGATAGTTATAATAATCATCGACTTCGAAAATATCTGATTAGGTATCTATAGTAAATGAAAACTACCAATCAGTTAGTTTTTAGCGGGTTTTTTTTGAAGTCGTTTTTTTTTTAAAATAAGTCATTATTTAGATCTCCAAAATAATTAATAAAAGTGTTGATCGAAAACTAAATAATAATGTAAATATTTTAGCTATAATGTTTACTTAATAACAGATAAATATTACAAAGATATATATTTTTTTACAATTTTTTAGCCTTTTTTTTAAATGCATATAAGCATTTTTTTTAAATCTTTATAAATTATATTTATAGACAAAAATGAAAAATACTTACATTTTCCAAGAACAAGTCATTGTTTTCAGAACTACTGCGGTTCACGCGTGCTTCCGACATTATACGTAACGTACGTTAGGACTAAATAACCACAAAGCCTTTCGCCTACTCTTTTATATTGGTAACTATGGTAACTACTTACAGAATTATCTATATATATATATATATATATATATAAAACATTAACTTAGTAATTTGTACTTGAAGTTTTTTTTTAAATATTGACTAACATATTGTGTACAGAATATAGACTCCAAAATAATAGTTATTAAAATTGTTGACTGTTTGTTAGTCTGTTTAGGGTTTCACCTTTCGCGCAAAAAGTATTGTACGGATTTGTACTAAATTTAGTGTAGTGATAACTTATTAATTGGGTCAACATTTAGAATACCTTTTACTACAGGAAAATCTTTCATTCACATGGGAAAACACAATAACTGGTTCTATCGAGTCGTTCTCAGAAATTTATATGGCTAATGCTAGCTAAACCTTAAGAGATACATCAAAACAATGTACTAGAAATTTATAGGTCTTAAAGAGGCCTACAGAAAAAATCATAATAGCATGTGTCAACTCCTATATGTCTATACCATCCTACTAATATTATAAAAGCGCAAGTTTGTAAGAATGTATGTATGGATGTATGTTTGTTACTCTTTTACGCCAGAACGGCTAAATGGATCTGGATGAAATTTAGCAAAGAGATAGATTATAGTCTGGAATAACACATAGCTACTTTTTATTCCGGACAAATAAACAGTTCCCGAGGGATAGATTTGTTTTTGTTTAGAGGCGAACCCGAGCGAAGTCAGGGTGTGCCGCTAGTCTTCTATAAGATCATTTATTGTATTATAACCTTCAATTTAATTCTTTATTTAATGGATTTAATGCGTGCCAGTTGAGCACAAGTTATTTCGCCAATGTCACGTTGAATGAAGGAGTCACGTTCGAGATTGGCCAGTGATATTCCACTAAAAAACCTAATTTATTATTTACTAAAACAAAGAACGACATCATCAGCATATTGTAAAAAACTGAAAAATTGTTGACAGATAGTTCGACATCATGGGTATAAATGCTGTACAGCAAAGGGCTGAGGACCGAACTTTAAGGAAGGAAGGAGGAAACCTCTTTTCCAGACCTGTCTGGGAGGAATAGTTAGTAACCAGTGTCTAACAGATATGGTTCTACTGGTCAACAGATTACAAATGAAATGAGTCGTCCTCACAGAAATACTCAGCTGGTGCATGTTTTTGCCTGAGTAACGGAAGAAAAATATTATTATATGTAGAACCCGACCAAGTATTCTCTCTTGGCGAAGGCTAGTCGAATATCTATGATAAAAATTCTGAGACTATCTATAGTGCTGAAGCCCTTTCTAAAGCCGAATTGATGGGACGCTAAGATTTTCTTGCTTTCCACTAACCATTCCCAGTGATTTTTAAGACGGTGTTCAAAAATTTTGACAAGAGTGCTAATGCAATTTGTCTATAGGAATTGGGATCGCAGGATTTTTTCCTGGTTTTAGAATCGGTATAATAAGCTGGTGTTTCCATGCTTCGGAAATTATTCCTGAATCTAATTATGCATTAATTAAATTTAACAAATATTATTTAGCCATATCATTAACTTTGAATATAAAGAAATTAAGGGAATGCGATCTTCTCGTTGACATGAACCTTTATTAAGTTCGTTGAAAGAAAAAGAGGCATCAAATTCATCGGAAGCGGGAGATGGTTTATTGGAATTGAGTTGGACGTCATTAAGAGACCCACGAAATCTCTTAACATTTATCTAAACTAGTGAAAATGGACAGCGGGGAATCAGAGATTCACAAAAATTAATCCACCCAGACTACTTCTTTGTGGAAACTAGTCTCCTAAATTTATCATCACTATGCTGGTAATTTATAAAATTCTCCTCTGTCATATATACCTCATATTACACTTCAGCAGAAATTCTACCATTAGCAGCATCAGTGCATTCCTCCATGGATTAGAAAGCAATTTATTATATGAGGAGACTTTTTAGGAATATGAAGGTCTGCAGAAGATAAAATAGCTGAAACAAATCGGTTGTAACAAAAAAAAATATTTTCACCATTACTAGCTCAGCTGGAAGTGATTTAATCATGCAATCAACCGAATAAGTAAGATCTCCAATTTGCTTTCTTTAGGTTATATGAAAGTATTTGGAAAAGCACTTGGTATTTGGAAGGGATATATTTTTGCTATGAATAGATAGATATATGGATGGGAAAGTGGTCACTACCATGGGTGGATAGAAAGTGTGATCCATTATAATTGGGAAGCAAGAGAGGGAGAAGATATGGATAAGTCCACAGCGGTCTTGGTGTTTTAGTTAGGGTGAACTTTTCTGATCGGAGAACCATCATTTAGGATGCAAATATTCAGGTCATCGATGATATTTCACTAGCGGCTCACCCTCGCTTCTCAACGCTACCAACAAAAAAGTAGCCTATGTTTTATTCCAGACTATAATCTATCTCTGTGCCAAATCTGTTCAGCCTTTCTGTTGTGAAAGAGTAACAAACATCCATACTTACAAACTTTCACATTTATAATATGAGTATAGATTTATTTGTTTATTTCTATTCTTTTTTTATTTATCAATTAGGATTACCAACAGAAATGACAATAGTAATACATAATCAATTAAACACAGTATAATTATATTTCCTCATCGATCAAAAAAGGGAGGTAATCACAACATGCATTGATTGTTTGATAAATAAAATAATAATAATACATTTAAAAACTGAATTACATTATTGCATAAATTAATATCAATTATAAAAGACAAATAGCATTATCTAATAATATTATAAAAATATTTATTATTATATATTAATCACATTATTGAAAACAAAACAAAACAAAAACAAAATAAATTCATTGTTATATGTACTTATTATTTATATATATATCCCTTACTTGAGAAATGCTTCTTTGAGTACTTTTTGCTTGAAAGTCGCTGCACATCAATTCGACTAAGTTTTTTTTATATTTTCCCGTGGGAAAAAAAGATTTTCTTGAAGTAAAAGGTATCCTAAATGTTGACCCGAGTAATAAGTTATCACTTCACCAAATTTCGTTGAAATTGGTTATGGTTTAAGACATTTATTTTCTCAAAAGAATTACAAAATTCACTTACAGAGAAAATACACAAATAATATAACAAGTACCTGGGCGACCGTGCTTCACTCGGAGTTTTTGGCCAGAAAAACGTTTAAAAAAACAAACAAAAAATTTGAATAAATACAAAAAAAAAGCAAAAGTAAAGACATTGTATCCGACCGGGAAACGTACCCAGATACCTGTGGTATACAAACTTGCGCCTTGGCCGCTTGACCACGATGCTTATGAACAGCGTGCGAATTAGCGACCATATTTTGCGGGGAATAATGCGAAACAACACCGCATGATAACTCGAAAAGACGCGTTTTCCCAGACAAAACTAATCTACATCGATTTTTCCCTCGAAACCAAAATTATATATATATATATACTTATTAAGACATTATTAAGAGGGTAGTGCTCATTGTTTTAATACAATAAGTTAGATAAGGCTTGGTCCACAGTACAAATGAAAGAGGTAATTATAGTAATTTAAATTTGGCATAAAAAATACGTATGTGTTTGGTTTCTTTTTTTTTTTGTTTTTAGTTACGTTTTTGGATTGTATAAATTATTTTCGCTATACCGATTATTATTATTTTAAATTTTTTTTCTTTATTATTTCAGGAATTTGTTTTACTTTGTTTTGTTGGATAGCTTGAATTTATTTAGTTAAAACAGGTTTTTTGACATTAAGATATCACTTTATAATAATTATTTATTAAAGTGATGTTATTTATTTATTTTTTTCACTTATGATATGATTTTTTAAACATTTTTCAAAGATTTTAAAAGTTTTTGATTCCTTTATTATATTCATGTAATTCATTGTATAATTTGGCTCCCTCGTACATAATTTTTTTTCATAAGTAGTTCGAGGCATATGTAAAAAGATATTATTTGCTTGTCTTGTTACTCATTTTTTATAAATGTAATTTGTGAATTAACGTCTTTTGCTAAGGTTTTCCAAATGAGTACACAGGTGTTAAATTTATCACCTCCAGGTAAATTCCTGAGAAATTAATTAAATTTTTAAAAAATCTATTGTTAACTGTAACGCCGGCGTGTCCGCGGTATTTGAGGGATTATAGAACTGAGTGACATTCATAATGTTTGTTTCATTGTAAATCTTTTTAGTCGATGTCAGATAAGTATAGTGGAATAGAGTTTTAATGAGCTTGTTTTGAGCTATTTGTAGTCGATGTAGATTTGTTTTAGCTGCTGTCCCCCAGACTTCTATGAGATAGTTTAGATTGAATCAAAGAATTGTAGATTATATAACGTACATTTTTTGGGAGGCACTTAACTATACCATGGGGCATGCCCGATAGGGATCTAATCTTTTTACATATCTTGTCTATGTATGGTTTTCATGATTTCCACTTATGGTGGTTATCAAGTAATAGTCCGAGGTACTATTCAGTTTTTGCTCTATTGATAATTTCACCATTAATCGGCAAAGGTTTATAATTACCGATTTTTTGTTTTTCGCAGAGAATATGATATATTTTGTTTAAGATGTATTTATAGATAGTAAATTACTTTGCAACCAAATATGTATGTAAAAGATTTAAACTGCGTTGTGCTTGTTCTATTATTAAAGACATTAAATGGCCGGAGTAAAATAATATTTATTTTAATAAATAAATATTTATTTTTACAGCAAAAAAAACAATATTTGTACGTTAAAACTATTATTACCTGAGAATATTTCAAATATAAAAAATATTTAGTGAACGCTTGAAATGTGCTGAGCGATAAGTTAGCTATATTTAAATGTGTCCAGGTTAGTGTATCACTAATTGCCTAAATTGTTACATCTCACGCAGACATTGCTCGCCACTTTATGTAATCCAATCCACGGTCCATTTGAGTAGCTAATTGTTTTAAATTCAGACTTCAGAGCATATCTATTTTTGTAAA